AAAAAAAAAAAAAAATGGCTGAGTTGCTGGGCGCAGTGGCTTGCGCCTATAATACCAGCACTTTGGGAGGCCAAGGTGAGAAGATCGCCTGAGTCCATGAGTTCGAGACCAGCCTGGGCAACTTGGTGAGCTCTCATCTCTAGCCAGGTGTGGTGGTGCATGCCTGTAGTTCCAGCTACTTGGAAGGCTGAGGCAGAAGGATCACCTGAGCCTAGCAGGACAAGGCTGCAGTGGTCATGATTGTGCCAGTGTACTCTAGCCTGGGCGACAGAGTGAGACTCCAACTAAAAAAAAAAAAAAAAAAATTGGCTGAGGACATAAATTGACAATTCTCAAAAGAAGATATATGAGCAGTTGACAGATACATGAAAAAACGCCACCCTCCTTTAATCATCAGAGAAATGCAAATCAAAACCACACTGAGGCTAGTCACAATGGCTCAAGCCTATAATCCCAGCACTTTGGGAGGCCAAGGTGAGAGGATTGCCTGAACCCATGGGTTTGAGACCACCCTGGGCAACTTGGCAAGACCTCATCTCTACAATTAAAAAAAAAATTAGCTGGGCATGGTGGTGTGTGCCTGTAGTTCTGGCTACTTGGAAGGCTGAAGAGGAAGGATCACCTGAGCCCAGGAGGTTGAGGCTGCGGTGGCCATGAGCATGCCATTGACTCCAGCCTGGGCGACAAAGTGAGACTCCAACTCAAAAAAACAAAACAAAACAAAAAACAAAAGCACACTGAGATACCACCTAACTCCAGTAAGGATGGTCATCATTAATAAACCAAAAAACAATAGATGCTGGTACGGGTGTGGAAAAAAGGGGATACTTCTACACTGAAAGTAGGAGTGCAAACTAGTCCAACCTCTATGAAAAATAGTATGGTGATTTCTAAAGGACCTAGAAATTGACCTTCCATACTATCCAGCAATCCCCATTCTGGAATTATACCCAGAGAACATAAATGGTTCTACAAAAAAGACACATGTACATGCATGTTTATTGTCACACTATTCATAACAGCGAAAACATGGAGCCTATTGCCCATCGAAAGTGGACTGAATAAAGAAAATGTGGTACATATACATCGTGGAATATTACACAGCCATAAAGAAGGTCAAAATCATGGACTCTGCAGTAAGTTGGATGGAGTTGGAGACAATCATACTTAATGATGTATCATAGAAACAAAGAACCAAATACCACATGTTCTTACTCATAAGTGGGACCTGAACATTAGGCACAATCACACAAAGGAGGCTCGGCAGGGGGGACATCAATGGGGGGGAGGTGCATATGGCAATATAAAGGGCACCTGGTCCTAAACCAGGGGAAGTGAGGACCAATTGGAGGCCCAAACTTTCCCTGCACGTAGATTACTTATGTACCTAATCCTGTTGTACCCTACATAGATAAAATAAAGTAATAAAATAAATTAATTTTAAAAATATAAATAAAATATTAGAAATATTTATTTCAGAAAAAAGGTAACAAATGAGCCATGACAACTAAAATGTGAACCTGGACTAGAAAAAGAAAAAGGTGCTATATAGGATAATTTTGGGAAAACTAGCCATCTGTCCTAATTTAAATAAGAACCACAGGACAGATGACAGTATAGTATCAAAGTAAAATCTAGATTGGATACATCAGTCAGACCCAGCCAACAGAACACCCCAAATCCCTGTTACTAATAACTGCTTCAAGGAAGGGGAGGTGCCTCAAGTTCGAATAAGAGAAGTCAGTCCCCAATTTCTGCAAAAATCCACAGGAAAAGGAAAAATCTCCTTCCAGGTAACCAAGATCCTGTCTACCAGAGAAAGGAACAAAAGAGGAGGGGTAGGAGGGAGACGGAAAGGGAGAGGGAAGGAGAGAGAGGAGGAGGGAGAGAAAGAAGGAGGGAGAGAGGGAGGGAGAGAGAAAAGATTGGATAAGTGCACTGTGGTCATGCAAATGTATGACCTCAGTCCTAAGGAATGCTCACGGAAGCATTTAAGGGTGAGGGGGCATCATGCCTACAGCATTCTCTCAAATAGTCTAGCAAAAAAAAAGTAAAAATAAAGTAATAGTGCTATGGCTATTCTCTCAAATAATCTAGCAAAAAAATAATGTAATAATGCTACGGCTTTGTTTTAGATGTATGCTCATGTATGTGTGTATATGCTCATGTATGTGTACACAGAGAAATGAAGAAAGGGTATGGTGTTATGAAATATACATCATTCTTTCCCCCAGACTCTCCAAACTAATGTGTCTTTTTGTATGCTGATGGCTGGCATCCCCAGGCAGCTTCAGGATGGGACAGATCACCTCCTCAAACTTCTAGAGAGGAGGCTGAAGTAAGTTAATCACCCATGGTCAATGCCTTAATCAATCATGTCTGTGTAATGAGGCTTCCATAAAAACCCAAAAAGAAGCCGGGCTCAGTGGCTCAGCCTGTAATCTCGCGCTTTGGGAGGCTGAGGAGAGTGGATTGTCTGAGCCCGCGGGTTCGGGACCCGCCTGGGCAACTTGGCGAGACCTCATCTCTACAATAAATCAAAAAAATTAGCTGGGTGTGGTAGCGTGCGCCTGTAGTTCTGGCTCCTTGGAAGGCTGAGGCGGAAGGATTGCCAGAGCCCAGCAGGTCGAGGCTGCGGTGGCCAGGAGTGGCCACTGCACTCCAGCCTGGCTGCAGTG